ATCCTGACGTCGTCAACCCTATTCCCCATCCCGCCTGACCAGTACCTGCCCCCAATCCCCCATCTCTGCAACCCTCTGAACAGCCCTGGGCATGAAAGCGGAGTTGGTTCACGGCATCTAAGATTGTGGGTTTTGGAGCTTAATATGTGATGGGCAGCTGCTGGCCACGTGTTTTCCGATACACGGCGTCTCCATGAATGCATAAAAATGTGTTGAAATCTTAAAGCGGATTCGAAAGGATGGCGGTGCGCACCGTCCCCACGACGTATGGGCCGAAGCACAAGCTGGGCACCGGCCAAAGACACTCTCCTGCATAATCCTGCGGAGGAGCAACAAGGGGTGTTAGGCCTATGTGTGTGCCGACTGCGTTATAAGTGCTTGCCGGTGTTGTAAAGGTCACCTCGCATATGCGGAAATCTCATACTGGCTCTCTTCGCATCAGCAGAAGCACGCACGTCGCCTGCTGTCTCGTGCGACCCCTTGAGCAGCGGGCCTATAACACCGAAATAGACCCGTCTAGCTGGACGTGTACTTACCTTGAATAAGACTGTAACGAGTCGGGTGATTTGGGCGTTCATTAATGCGTAGGCTAACCTCCCGTGGCGGTACACGATTTGCCTGTGATGGTGTGGCGGGTCTTGCCTTTGGGCATTTGCAACAAATAAGTCAGTGAGCTGTGCGCAGTTGAGGAGGATGTTCTACTCGTTGGAGACCTGAACGCATGTGTTGGGGGCATGCATTTGGTACGGAACACCTTGGAACAGAACACGCTAAGTAGCTGCTGGGCTGCATGCAGGCTACAGCATACCCGGCCTTGCAGCCTATGTGTGTGTGACATGGTTGGGGGTGCGTGACCCCATACCTGTAAAACTACCCATACGAGCCGAAGGCCCAAGAGCAATATCTTTACGCCTAAAAGCCACGGAGAACAGGAAACACCGACTAGCGTCCAAAGGGGATAACTGAGTTTCGGTGGGCCCACATACGTTCCAACATCCTCGCCAGACGTACTGGTTCCCATTTCATGGCCTCCAACATGCTCTATTGATGATCGAATCCTTCTTCAGCACGAATATCATTATAGGCTGGGCATTCCAATAACACGTGTTTTTCATCCTCGATTCGGCGATTAGTACCACAACAGCGGCAAAACCGCTGCTCCTTGGGGACATGGTAACTGCCTCTTCGTGCTCTGTTTGCCTCCAAAGCCCATCAACATAAACGAAACTGCAACAGCGGCAAAACCGCTGCTCCCTGGGGACACGGTACTTGCCCCTTCGTGCTCTGTTTGCCTCCAAAGCCCAGCAACATAACTGCAATAGCTTACGATGTGCTAAACGAGGAATGAAAGCCTTAGCATGTGTTGGCCACATGACGGCTGCGGCTCCCGACAAGGGCAGCCCCATCCAGTGCTTATACTTCGCCATTTGCACTCCCGGTTGCTTCCCATCTGATGGGTACTCCTCTGGCAAGACAGTCAGACGCGCATGGTCCGAGCCGCTCGTCAGCCTATGTAGGTTTACCGGAGAGAACTTGTGACGACCAGGTAGTGATTACGTTCGGTCAATACCTGGGCTCCCTATGCCTTTCGATAGCATCGTATTGCCAGCGGAAGGGTCTCTGACGAACCGAACCCAATGTAAAGCTCACTTTCCAGCGCACCTACGTTCTCTGGTGGCGATGGTAGCAGGATAGATTTTTGCCTCCCCATGTCCCATTACGGAGGAAAGTACCTGAACATGTTCACCTTTCACTCCATTTTGGGGAACAGTTTGCTGATGTTAGCGGCCCGTAATAACTATAGGCCATTCACTGTGCTTTTCGGAACAACAGTGGCTATTCTGCAGGAAGGCGGAGTTTGGCGTAACGTAACCCCATCACTTTAAGCTGTTCATGAATCCGTAACGTGTCCCTATCGCTGGCCGGCTTGGTCGTCCTGGATAGCGTATCCCCATGGACGGCTGCTTGGTGTGCGTTTCCCTACACACCTGGGATACATCGCCCTACATTCATAGAGTGCATTTCCTACACTCATGGGTTGCATTTCCCGACAGGCCAATTCAGCGTGCAGGACACCCATTGGCCGCCGCTACACAGCCTTGCTGCAAGCTGGCGGATATAGTCCACGCGACCGACTTCCATGGACCGTAACATGCAATCATGCTACATACAAGTTTAATCTTCGATATAGAGATTTTCTCACACAATTCGGTGTAATTCTCATTTAGAACCAAGTGCGTGCAAACGCTTATGATAAACAATGGAAATCCTTTGCAATGCAAGACCTCCAAACAGGAGCGCATGCAGATATCACTGGAGTTAGTGAAGTTACGAAAAATCCTGGAGCCGAGGCTTTGTACATCCGTACCCTCTTCTTACACATCAATGGAGAACTGCCTTGCCTTTCCACGGTAGGGCCTGTTTGTTGCTGATGTCTGCAGGATGAGCTCCGGGGAGCTAATTTGATGTACGGATTTTTGGGTCTGCCAAGGCCTGCAACAAACCACAGCAGCTGAACTATGCAATTACTTGTGATGTTTAGCACAGCTGTTAGCTTAACCTGAGCTGTGCACCTTCACTTGAAATACTCATTTACGTGAATTCTTCAGCGCGTTCACTGGCTATATGTGTCTATTAATGCATGTTTCTGAATCTTAGATTGCATTAAGCCCGCCCTGAATGTTTGCTTAAAGGGCAAAGGCGTTGTGCTGCGGCTGCCGCTCCTCGACGCGAAGACGAGATCGCCTTTCCGGGAGTTTTGTACGCAAGCCCTGGAGCTTAGAAGTAATCACTCTTCGCTGGAATCGTCTTACGCAGTCGACCTCGGGTCGGCGGTGATCTCAGAATGGAGGGCCAGGCTGAAGTCTCGGAAGCCATGCCAGACAACGACGTGGAACTAGCATCTTACAGTAAGGATTTTTGTTTTGTTAAATCTGTGCGGGGTAGTTGCTTTCCAGTTCACATCCTCGTTATCCTTGTATCCGTTGAAGGACCTTTGGAGGAAAATGTAGAGCACGGAGGTTTTAAGCGTCAGGAAAATGCTGTGGCATCTCACGTTGCGGCGGTGCCATCTGAGCTCGAGGGGGCCCCAGAACCGGCATTCGCTCCTGCCTTTGTCAGTGGACCCGAAGGTGGAGCGCATGCAGGACCAGGCGCTGGGGCTGAGGACGGTGGGCAAGAGCCCAAGCGACGGCGGCGCAAATGGGGTCCGCCGGCTGCAGATGCAGTCACAGCGCCGGAGAGCGGCGGTGACGCGGAGGGCGCCACTGCCACGGGCTGCTCTAACCCCGTGCCACCGGAAGGACTGGATGGAGATGGCAGCGAAGCAGACCGCAAGCGAAGGCGCCGGAGCAGGTACTGACGGCCGGGATCGGCCTGAAAGGCATGCATTCCTAGGGTATTCGTGGTTCCAGGTGACTAGCATCTGTGTCATTGCATTCCGTTTGCAACTTGGGTAAGGTGTCGTGCTTAGCAGTTTCTCTGGCCTGTATCCTTCGGGCTCCAGTCCTTTGTGTTGTTACCTAGATGGCTCGCTGCCCTGACGCTGCTGCCACTAACTCGTATCGCTTACCCCTGAACGCAGATGGGAAGAGAACGAGGGCGCGCCTGTCCCGACTGCCTCCACTGCATTGACGGTTGTGCCTGCTGCAACGGGAGCTGGACCGTTGGTTGCGGTATTTCCAAAGGAGGTGGTCTTGTCGGGAGGGATTAAGGTGCGAGACCAGGATTGTGCGGAACTGTTTGCGATGTAAGCTTTAAACGGCCATTCTTAGACCACGCGTGCAACCAAGCGATATAGTTCTAACAGTACGAAAGCAGGGAAGGCTTGGGCGCGCTGGTGCTATTAAACGTAAATACCTGTCCGATGCTGCTCCTGGACATGACGCCCCATGAGCAGCTGATAGCAAAGGTGGGCGCCGCTACTTGCAATTACTACGGTCCATAGCTGCCAGGGTGGCTTTGCCTGCGCAGGTCCATCTACCCACCAGCATTACAGGGGAGGCGCCGTTATCGGATGTGGATCCGCGCGTCCGGTTGCTCCATGAGGAGCTGGAGACTCTGAACAAACGGCTTCAGGTTGGTAATGAGGTTTGGCGGGTAAGCACCATGAAGGAACGGCAATGGGATAAGTAACAGGCGCTTAGCGTAATGGGCGTTATTTTAGGAGTTCACAGGGTCAGCATTTCCGGCTCCAAACAGAGGGGCGAAATGCAATTGGTGGATGGGGCTAGCCTGGATATGGCGCTTCTGGGAAATAGTGAAATTTACATGCCCAGCAAGCTAATAGCCTAGAGGCAAGAAGATCCGGACATGTGCGCCAGTGCTCAGAAGGGTATGGGTTATTGTATTGCATACTAGCCCTGTGGTCATAACGGTTGCCATTTTGCCGGTCCGCAGAACAATGACCTCGATATTCCGCCGGAAGGTGATCCACGCCGATCCCCCTCGCCTGAGCCCATCTACGACCGGAATGGAATTCGCCAAAATACACGCGAGATTAGGTGAGGGAGGGGTGCAGCTTTCGTGCCCTCGAAATTGTTTCCAAGGCGTAATTGACGTACTCATAGTTTTAAGGATGCGGCCGCTCGGTTATTGAGCACGGGAGCCGTGCGACACGGTAGGCCTCGCACGCCACCGCTATGAAATATCTGATACAGCTATGAAGCTGTTTGAATAAGGATAAATAGTCCTAGTAAAGGCATTGGGCATTTGCCAATGGTATGCGAACGGAAAGCAGGCTTTGAGAATGGTGGGCCGGGTTGCAGACCTTTGAACTTTTTTGGGTATGGGTATGTTTTGCAAAATTGTACGGCGCGACGGGTGAACGCGGACATCATTGCTCTGAATGGAGCTTGACGTGTTTCAACGACAAACAAGGATCATCATGATCTCGCATGATAGACTAGGGATCCAAGCTGGCCACCCAAGATGTACGTAGGTAACGGGTAGAAGGCATGGTCCAAAAATTGTGAATTTGTTTTCCCGCCTCTGGCTTCGCCAGGTATCGGGAAAGGTTACTGGACAACCGCAATCGGGTAGTGGAGGAGCTCATGAAAGAAGATCCCACCTTCAAGCCACCGGCAGACTACAGGTATGGGTCAGCATATTGACGCATTTTGTTTTTCTTTTGGGCGAAGAAGGAAGAAGCGCTGCATGTTATTGCGTGGAGCAGCACATGACGCCTGTTTGCGTGGTGTGTGGGATCCTGCTTGAGACATCACATGTGGAAGGGGGCTTTCCAAGGGGGTCTGGGAGCCTTCCAAATGGAACGCGTGTTCATAGTGTATGAACTGGAAGGCAACCGTGGGGAATAGGTTTGAGGGCTGGCGCAGGGAAAGCGGGGCTGAGTTCATGGGACAGGTTTTCTTTACGGCTTAGCGGAGCTGTCTCTGACGCCTGGTTGTTTACCCTACAGGCCAAAGAAATACTGGAAGAAGGTGTACATCCCTCAGGACGCATTCCCCACTTACAACTTTATCGGTCTCATCATCGGTCCACGCGGTAACACGCAGAAGCGGATGCAGAAGGAGACTAACACCAAAATCGCCATCAGGGGTGAGCAGAAATGCGAAGTGGGGCTACAACGGGACGTCCAAATTTTAACCCTGACTTTGCTTACGAAGACGCCAGGAATTTTGCATGTATTGTAGTATGATGATGCAAGAGATGCAGTATTAATAGGTATTACAGTGCGCCCCAGACACCAAGGGGCCTCAGTGTTTAGGTGACTGGACCATTGGGCGTTTAGTTCACTTCGGTGCGTCACATATGCCGTGTATTCTCTATATCAACCAGTAGCTACACGTTCGTGCCCACAGGTCGCGGTTCTGTGAAGGAAGGCGCTTCCCGCGACCCTAAGTACGACTACGGTGAGGACGAGGAGCTACACGTACTTATCACGGGGGAGCGGCAGGACGACGTAAGCGCAGGAGCTAGGTGCCATTGCAAACACACATGTGGTTGCTGAGCTTTTTGCAGGGTGAATGAAACTCGTTAAAGGGATTGTACATTCTTTTCAACGCATCCGCACATTGTATAGCCCAGTAGGGCCCGTAGGCTGTATTATATACCTACCAAACACCCAAACGACGGACTGGGAACCTCAAGCGCTGAGGGTGTCTTTCAGGCTAATGCTGTTGAAAGTGGATACCCTACGATCACCCAGCAACTGGTGGTTTCATAAGGGCCACTGAGGGTAGTTAGCCAACTGGGGTCCTGCTGGTGGCGGGTACGTGATACAGCTAGGGGCGGGGTTGCCGGAGTCCCCGCTTGCAAAGAGGCTCGAGGGAACACGGGGCTTTCAGTCAACCCTACATGCGGGGGCTTGCCGGAAATTTCCGCTATCCTAGGTCCCCCGGTCACGATATATGCACCGATGAGTCCTGTTCCGCGCTCTACGCAGTGTCCTCCTTTTGTTGCAAGTGAAGGTTGGTCGGTGAAACAAGTCGCAACAAGCGATCAACGCTTGTAACACATCACTAATCGGTATTTCCCCTCCTGCACAGGTTGACAAGGCTGTAGAGATGATTGAGCGGCTGCTAGAGCCCAACGATGACACGCTCAATGAACATAAGCGATTACAGCTGCGGGAATTGGCCGCACTAAACGGCACGCTCAAGGACGAGGTGGTGGGTGTTGTATCCAGGATGCTGAAATGGTTCGTTGTGTTGTTCCGGCACTTCCTCTTTGATTGTCGGGCACAACGAAGACGCGGAAATCGCTTTGGTATTGAGTGTTGGCCTACTGCAGCGGGCGTCTGCGTGCCGTGATGGGGTTGCTTTCCTGACGTTCATGTCTCAATTATCCTCAGGCGTGCTACATCTGTGGCGAGGCAACGCACCGCAGCACGGAGTGCCCAAAACAGCAGGCAGTGGAGATTTATAAGTGGGTAGTAAGCACGGAGGGAGGGGATCTCGGATGGGGACGAAAAACTGGTTAGGCACGCTTGAGCCGTGGGGGTCGTTAGCTGCTCGGTGTGCAGCTAGGTGTTATAGAGGTTCCATAAGAGGTTCTGTATTGGCTGCAGGGGTCCGCCACGCTGGTTAGGGAGAAAGGATAATGTGGCAAAAGCTGCATGTATGGCAGGGGCGCGTCTGATATGAGTGAGGGACTGAATGATGCAGGGCCCAGGCTTTGATCGCCTGTGCGTAACGAGGATGTTTCCATTACCCTGGATATGATGCAGGCTTGCGTTGCTAAGCTTGTTCCAGGGCTAGATAACGGGACGAAATGCCCAGCAGCCACTTACCTTGCTGCATAATGTTTTGCCCTCTTTTGACCGTAACCCTGCGTGGCTGCTTCCCGTAGGCTGCCCGACGATATCCGTGCTAAAGCGGAGGAACAGTATGCTCGCGATGTGGCTCGGATGCAGGGGGATGCGTCGGGTGGCCGTGGGCTGGAGGACGAGTACAAGAGCTTTTTAAGGGTGAGTCTCATGTTTGGAGCTAGCAACTTTCCTATGATATTGCGGCCTTCTCAATCGTACAATTGATTCTGTGTATCCGCCTGCTCTTTGCATCTCCGCTACAAAAGGCAGGCGTGTTTCTGCCCAATCCGCGCTTGCATGAACCCCAAAAGGCATCTTCAGGTGCCACTCCTGTCTTGCTTACACTCGCAGCTCTTGCGCGGAACTATCAATCTTCAGCTACCTCCAATGTGTGCATCTGTAGGAATTGGGAGGCGCGCCACCGCCCGAAATGATGGGTGACTTGTCGGCGCTTGAAGCTCGGGAGGGCGGTGGGCGGCCAGGCTTGGGGCGGCCTCGCCGACCCGGTGACGATTTACCGGACGACCACAAGGTTTGGGGGCATCAAGTGTGGGCCTCATCTGAGTCTCCATTCGTAGCTTGTATCCACTAGCATGTTTGAAATGTCCATTGCACCCTTTGCAAGGGACACCACAGTCCGCCCATCATAGGAGTGTTATGCGTTACATGTAGCATGGATGAGGATAGTAGCCGCGGACGAATTTACACCGACCCAGCTGGACTACATTTGCGGCTTCCCACCAGGGGGCAAATTCCTACTTACATGAACCTATCGTTTCATCTATTTTGCGAAACAGATATACATTGCTGGGCTGCCACCGGTATTCAACGATGTAATGCTCAAGTCCATGTTCGAGCCCTTTGGCAACGTAAGGATCAGGATGGGGCTGACCAATGCGCGTAACGGGCCACTGCATGTGCTGTAGACGTCATACTGGATACGCAGCTCACATGCCCACGGTTCATTGGTGCTACGATGCTGTGCTCTGAACACACTTTGGTCCATTGTTTTAGGGACGCATGGCCCGATGAAAGAACATCCCTGTTGTGATTTTCGGACTTGCTGTTAAGCCTTACTTACCGGGACATGCGTGCCTAACCTTTTACATTTCCTGCGTCCAGGTGCTGTATGCTGTAGTCGCCACGGATGGCGCTGGCAATAGCCGTGGCTTCGGCTTCGTGCACATGCCCGATGCTGCCACGGCGAAGGCCGCAAGAGATGGCATGGATGGTCGCTTGATTGAGGGCAAGCCGCTTACGGTTCGACTTCGCAGGTGGGATGATGTGGAAATGAGGACTCAGGTTTTATGACGCATGGGTTGGCCCGCCGGGTTTGGGGGGGGAGGAGCACGCTGCGTCTCATACCTCGAATGGCTTAAGGACCGTCTGGGTTGCTCATGGGTACCAACAGGCATCGCTCCGATGCTAATGGTGGGGCCTGAATTCGTCTGTTGGTATATTCCTGCAGCGTAGTATTGTAGCGCACGTGGCCTTGTGGCGGACTGAACTCGGAAAGTACATATTCCTTCATAGGAATCTGGATGCGGTCCCTTCTATTGTACTCTGCCTTTGCAGTGAGCGCAATGAGCCGCGGCAGCGGGGCCCTGCGGGAGCCTCCGGAGGGGGGGTGGATGGAGTGGACGACGCATGTAAGCTGTACTTGGGCCAACTGCCGCCTACGGCGTCGGAGCAGGTGTGGGGGTACATGCGCAGACCTTGCTTGTGGCTTGGCTTGGCCGTGTTTGTTAGCTGGATGATTGACGAAAAAGTCGTGATGGCCTTGGATGATGGACTTCTTGCAAGCAAGTTACAAGTGCGGGGGTGTCCGTAAAGGCCGGGGGGACCGTGGACGGTAAATCGTTTTTAGTGCGGTTACGTGGTGGACCATCATCGTCCTCCCTCGTCCGCTTGAGCACGAAGCGCCTTAGAGCAACGTGCCGGGTCTCCTAGACTTCCGAGAGGAACCTGGCAAGCTATCGGAATTTTACCTACGCAATTGCAACACTCCACCCTTTGGTCGCATGCCCTTTACCCTGGACGTGTGCAGTTGCTCCGCCCGTTATTCGAGCCATTTGGCCCGATTTTGGAGTTGCGCCTTATCCGCGACCGGGAAACTGGGGGCCTCAAGGTAATGCATGTTCCGTAGCAGGGCTGAGTCGCGGGATTGATCTTCCGCAGCGTGCATGGACAGGGATTGCAGTATGCGCGCGTTAGGGCAAGAGGATGCGGGACTTATTTGTGACCTCTGTTGCTGTGGCTGCCTAATCATCAGCACTTTTCCTTAAATGAGTTGGCCTCGTTGGAGAACTAAGAGCGAGTAAACAAGGAGTCAGTAGAAGCTGGGGGATTATTCTTCTGCTGAATCTCAGAGCTAGAACAGATTAAACCGCAAAAGCCTTCGGGGGAGCTTACCAGTTATCCTCTGTTTTCAGCTGAAGGTCCACATGTTTTATTAGGGCACCCTGACATGCAAATCGGTTGGCTGCGCTGGTCATGGTGTAATTTGTGGTCCTGAAGGCATCCAGAATCTGCTCTCGGTTAATGGCCCTTACTTACGAGCCTACCTGGCGGCTGCTTACGTCCTGCCAACCAGGGCTTTGGATTCCTGACAATGGCGACCCCCGCCGCCGCCTCCGCGGTGATGCGTGCGATGCACGGGTACCGGATTGACGGCAAGACGATTGTGGTGAAGCAAGCGGGGGCGCCGCCTGGCAGCGGCAAGGAAGACAATGGCCGCGACCATAACCGGGATCACATTCGGGACCGGGACCATCACAATCGGGTGGGTTGCGTGATTGTCGCGGCAACTGTGGCCTTTGGTGTGCAATTAGCATTGTCATCCTGCTATATGTTTAAAAGCGTGACAGCAGTTATCGCCGTCTATGGCCTCCTGCCACAATTGCGTTGGTAAATCATAACAGCTGCGATGCTTATCTTCCCTATGATTTGGAATTATGGGCACATCAGCTTTTAGAGAACGAAGCTTGCCAGAGGCGCAGCTACAGTCGAAGATGCGACGTTAGCAACAGTTACGGGTTGAGCTAGGGCAACGGCATTTCATTGGGGTTTGAAGCGCACGTTTCGAGCTTTGCGATAACCAAAGGTGATATTGGCCATATGTGCACGTTGAATGCAAATGCATCCGAGGGGGATGTGGGCCATGTTACCGCAGTGGCGGGATGGTGACGTCCGAGCCTAAATTACGTTGCATGGAAGAGTTAGCACTCTGACGGCAGTGTGACGGGACATATTGCCAGTTCGAGTGTGGGCCCAGAGTAAGTTTGGCGCCTGTGTATGTAGGCAAGGGGTATTGCTTGAGGTTGCGCTAGAGGCTGTATCCGAAGATTAAATTTGCGTGTTAAGCATGGGAAGAGCTATGCGGGCTTACACATTTCACCCAAATTGATACCAGTCCATGTATCATATCTAGCAATCTATCACACATCTTGGGAGTGTCTTTCTATTGCTTGGCGCGTTGTCCAATTGCATGTGCACAAGCAACATACGGTCGCGGATCTTGAAGCGAATAAGTTCGGGGCCTTCTGTCGGACTATGATGGGTGGTGTGCACCTATCATAAACGATAGCTGAACAATCATATGACCAGTAAGTAACCAGTAAGCAAATAAAATATAGCTCTGTTGCATTTTCGCATGTCCGCCAAGGTTGAGATGCCTGCTTTGCGGATACTCTCCTTGCCAG